ATGATTAATTCGCTTGAAAATCAATTGGAATCTCAACAATTCGCTTTAAACAATGATCTTAATGATAACAATAATTTTGATGAGCTTGCAACATTATTAGCACGTAAGTATTTGAAGATTTATTATTGATTTTTTTTTTTTTAATTTGTTATGTTGTGATAATCAATTGTTTATGACATTGAATTCATGCAGTTGAGCAAAAACAATCGCAAGATAGCTTTGACTCATGTGCACAAATCAATACGGATTCAGTTGATGTTCAAAGTTATAGTTTGGAAGATCATGGGGGAAGCAGTGCTTTGAATTTGGAAATCCTATCTGAGTTTGACAATCTGGATGAGACAGATGAACTTTATGTAGCACTTAGCCAGGTAAATGATTTTTCTTATGAACTAAGTAGGTGAAATATGTATACATATTTTGACATTTTTTGTAACTGTTGAACTTTTCAGTTTCAATACTAAGATCGTTGCAAGGGCTCCTGAAGGTACTTTTATCTGGATTCCTTTAGAGCTCTAAGCTTTGTAGATTGTTGTTCTCTGCATCTTTCTCCAGATCATGCTATTATGATCAGAATGCTGAAACTTAATGGAGTCATTTTCAAAAGTTAAAAGCTTGTGGAGTCAATTCATTGTTTGTTTCTTAGTTACCAATTCAATTCTGTAATTTTCTCTTCTTTCATTGCATGTTATTGTTGTTTAGAGGTTATGCAAAAGAATCTGATGTATATATCAATGTTACTTTTTTGATAAATAAATGAAATCGCATGGTTAGACATTGGTAATGCTTTTATTTGGTGCAATGAGAGTTTTTAGAATGTATTGGTTGGATTGCACAGATTGAACAGGCTTTGTTGCTCTTTAAGTAATTCCTGTGGGTTCCTTCTACAACACAGTTTCAAGCATTTTTACTGTTTCGAATTATCAGATTGTACAAGGAGTGTTTTTGTTTTTGGTTCTCTCTGCAACAGACAGATAAAATGCGTTTGGTATATGGAATGCCAAAATGGGCTGTTTAGGGTGGGCATAATGGCTTAATCTGACTACCATAAAAAATGGATGAAAATTAGGCTTGCTGGGGGGATCACTCTATGTGCACTTAACAGCGAAACCTCTATTTTCTGTAACCTTTTACAGAGCAAGTCCTATATGCATACTTTTAATTTACTAAAATATTCCTCTCGTCCATCTATACATACAATCTCTTACCTTGGCTCTTAGTGATGTTGTTTATAGTAAGCTTTGTTTGGGAGAACATTTTCACTGCTTTTTAAAATAATTTTTTAATAATTGTGCTAGAAAGTTTCTTTAAGAAGCAAGAAAAAAAAACTATTCCAATGAAATCATAGTCATTGTAGTCTCACAGCATAATTCAAGCTACTTCATATAGTTGATTTTTTAATAGCTAAGTACTCGAGTTTTATTATATTTTTATATCAAATTATAGACAGTAAAAACATGTTGTCACCATATGAGAAGTATTCCAATATTGAATCAAAAATCACTTTTCTTTTGCATCTTTAGAGAACTAATTGCACAATCCACATTTGAATATGGCAAAATTTTAGTAGAAAGAAAGAGGCGTTGGCAAGAAGAAGATTGTAGTAATTAAATATTAATATTTTCTAAAACTTTAGTATAGCACATTATCTCTGTTTCATGTATATATTTATCATCCCTAAACATTTAACCTCAAAAGCTTTAATTCTCTTCTATCACAATAAAATAAAAATATGTAATTTCTCTTATATCACAAGAAATAGGCTTAATTTTTACAAAGACAAAAAAGAAAAGGTCTTTCTAGTTCTTTATGCAATACAAATTTAACCTCCAAATAGTTTCTTGCAGAAATAGTAAAATAGAAAAAGCATAAATCTTATTAATGTATAAGATCTAATAGTAGCAAAGGAGACTATGTATCAATTACTTCTCAACAATAAATGAATAAAGGTTAAACTAGGAAAACATTAGGTAAGGCCCCAAATTTTATGTAGATTTTGATGATTACAAATACAAATATAAAGACACAAAAAAAAAAAAAGAAGACAAAGCTTACCAAACAAACTGATCAAAGTAGAATTGTACTTGATAGGATATAATATGTGTAAAATCATATGGGAGGAAAGTGCTTTGATTTGGCGTATTACCATCCTCTTTCATTTGTTCAACCGGCTTGATTAATCCAGGGAAATCCTCTATCTTGATAAATGCATGGAAAGTATCCATAGACAGACGAACACCTTCTAAAATCATCATCTGCATTATCTCTTACGCTTCATCCATTCTATGTGCTTCACAAATTGGAAGTACCATACAATTTTAAGTTTCCAATTCTTGTCGCAAACCTACCTCCATGATTTTGTTAAACAAGCTATATGCTTCTTTCATGCAATTTTCTCTTATCAATACATAAATTATATAGTTGCAAACCTTAAGGTTTGGAATCCAACTTCTTTTCTTCATCTCATCATAAAACCTTAGAGACTCAAAGTGATTTCCATGTTTTGCCAAGCAACCAATCATATGAGTGTAGGAAGTACTATATGGTATGATGCAAAATTTTGCCATTTCTCTCCAAACTCTTTTTGCTTCAATCAAATGGACAGGAATATTACACCATCCATCAAAAATAATGTTGAGTCCAATAGTTTCAAGAGGAAAAAAAAATAGTTTTAAAAGAAGAAGCTCTTCCGATTCCTCAACATTCTTGTTTTTGCAAAAAAAAAAAAAACATTAAGAAGAATTCATCCAAATTTGCTTTTACATTGAATTTCTCCAAAGCATGGAATGTTTTAATTAATTTCCCACTCTCATTTGTGGATACATATCTAATTTTCAAGGAAGAAGTGTATTCTTATTATATATGATTAAAACATTCAATTTATAGTGTAAAACATTCAATAATATTTTTTTACAATATGTCCTAATATATGTGAATTCACTCTCCCCTTTTTTAACAAAATTTCTAAGACTAAAAAGCTTTGAGATAGAACTATTTAAAACTGATAAAAGCAATAATATAACATGAATTTTTGTCATGAAAAATTTCTAATAACATTCAAATTTAAAGTGGTTAAGATTCTAGTTCTTCATATGATGAATGGAGAAAAGTCAGTTTGGTATACCATTTAAGTAGGATTTAAGCAAGATTCTCATTACAGCATCACTATTAATAATATCTAGAATTTAGTATGGTGATTTACATACATACCACTTTATATTATGCTATTTATAGATTTAGCATTAAAAACTTTAATATTTCATACCTCTACCAATCATAGACAACTTTAATATAAAATATATCACTCTTATATTACATTCGTACCGGTGATACCACCCTATAAATTTTAATATTTCATTCATTACACCAATATTTAATCTATGAGTGGTAAACATGGATTCCCACCATTCACGAGATCTAACAAGTTTAATTACATCTCTCTCACACAAGCCTTAAATCCTAAAACAAATAGACAAACAGTTTAACCGAATTTAAAAAGAGTAAATATTTTTATGTCAACCAGTCTCAAGATTTTAATCCTCTAAAGATTAAGTAAATCCTAATTATAGTCAAATGATATAATCTAATAGTTTAAGAATTGAATGATATAATCTAGTAGCTCAAGAGATGAAACACTCTTTCATCTTTCCATCACAAAATTTAGCAACAGCTAAATTCAAAATCCTGATCATAAGCATTCAAAAGAATTGAAATCATGCACCTTTCCATAATAATAATCAATGCCCAATGAGTAAGCAACGACTTATGATGCATTCTCTGCTAATCCATCCAAGCCAAATCGAACCTTCTCTGTTTAACCAACACCCAAATCATCAAATGCCACGCCCATGGAGATCCAATAACACAATTGCCAGCCCACCTGAAAGCTAAGAAGGCAGATTTCCAGCCGAGCCTGATCTCCCAAAACACTAAACAAATCAGACCCATCATCGGTTTGGTTATTTGTGAGGATCTCAAGAAGACCAACGCCTACTCTTGCATCAAGAAGTTTGATTTTGCTTGTAAGAGGTGTTGAAGGATGATGGGATGGTCTAAGCTGAGGAAATTGGAGATGGGTTTGGAGGACTCAGAGTCGAAATTGCTATCCTCAGCTCCAGAAGAGGAGGGGAAATGGAAAGAGAGGGATTTGTAGAAATGGGCATTGGAGAAAGGGGAGAGAGATGGTGAGGAGAGAAAAGAAAGGTGGTAGTCGAAGGAGGAGGCTGTGAGAGGGAAATCATAGTGGGCTACGAAGAGGCGAAGGAGAGCAGCTCGACAGATTCGGCACCAAGCAACGATCTGCATTATGGTGTTCAAATATAGGTAACATAATATGATAATGGAAATAAAGTCAACATAAACATATAGGTATCAGCTATGATTCTCAATGGATATTTAACTTGAAATTTTTTGAAATTAAATTTAAGAACATCCAAACTTCATTTGTACTTTAGCACGATTGAAAACGTCAAAAAATTAATTAGAGAAACAAACGATCTTTAAATCTTGTGTTCTCATATTCAAATCTAGCATATCAATGAGACAAATCCTACAGCTTAAACATACTTAATTATGACATTTTTGAGTTATTCAATATTCAAAAAAATATCTTAAGATAAAGAGGATTACTCTGAATCATTTAATGACGAGTTTTGGATTTTTTTGTTATATTGATGTAGAATGATGCATTCACTAACTATTGATAGATCATCACTCTCTATATAAACCTAGTCAACCTTCATTTTATCAAAACGTAATTACAAAATCATAAATAAATGTTGGATTATAAAACCATACCATAGAAATTCGGATCCCCAAACACTACCACTACACCTGATTTACCCAACAAGACTCTTATCTTTTCTTAAAGTATTAAAAGAATGAAGTAAGATCAATAAGTTCAATTTACTCCCTCCTACACCCTGCACAAATATAAATATCCAATTTAAATGCTTAAAGCAATATAAATATAAAGTGAACTTAAGTAAAATTGGAATTTACCAAATTTCTAGTGTGTATACTTGATTTCAGAACTAGCACATAAACTTTCTGAACCACATCTCCATTTTCACAAATTATCTGGATGTCGTGCAAAATACTTATTCATTTTATAGGTTCAATTGTATTTCCCTTTAATTTCACTTTCCCAACAGTATTCATATAGAAATTTAGAGTTTATTGAACATCTCTCAAAAGATTTCTTAAATTTAATTCATTAGAATATTAACATATGAGATACAATGCATAACATGCACATATCTCGAAGCTTACTCCTATCTTCATTTCCCTTATATCTCATTTTTACCTTCCACACCTGTCTTTAACAAGTGGAGCCAAAATCCCTCCCATATTTGCATCAAGTAGAATCGGCCAAAAGAGCCACATTCAATGTTAGTTAACCTCTCACATTTTCTTTCGGGAAGTGGGGTCATAATCTCTCCCACATCTATATTAGGCAGATGAGGCAAAAAAAGAACATCTATGACCTCTACAATATAATAAAGAGTGCACTTTTTATTATTTTAGAATAAAACATCTCTAATACAACATAATCCATAATAGAAATGAAATACAATAGTAATTAAATTTAGTATTCAATGCAATATTTATATGATGCAAAAAATTACGAGTAAAAGCCTCAATACTTGTTAAATAGGATTCTCATTTAACTTTCCCGTTTTAATTTTTAACTTCAAAAGAATATTCACATGAAAAGTTTAATTATTTTTTATAACTAATATATTTTCTAGAAAAGCCTCCATTTAATAAAATACTGA